TAGTCATCTTGACAACAGGAGAGAAAATTTCCGTGAAGTCAATTCCTTGTCTTTGTTGGAACCCTTTCACTACGAGTCTAGCCTTATATCTTTTGCTGCCATCCGGTTCTTCTTTCAACCTATAGACTCACCTGTTTTGCAAAACTTTCTTTCCTTCCGGTAGCTTGGTTAAAGACCATGTTTTATTCTTCTGAAGGGACTTTATCTCATCTTCCATTGCTAGCTCCCACTTAATAGATTCATCTCCCCGCATAGCCTCAGCAAAATGCTCCGGCTCACCAAGCATCGATCAACAACAAATAATGCAATGAAGGGGAATACCTTTGTGGTGCTACAATTGTTCTCGCTAGATCTTCTAACCAAGATTTCAGGAGTTGCCGACTCTACTATTTGTTCAGGTTCTGTCTCGAGGCTCGACATAGGCTCTACTTGTATATTCCGCCTTCGGTTGACTACATCACTTTCTCGAAATTTCTTCTAATGATACTTGCTCTAGCTCGTTTATTTACATTTGCAGATTCTGCAATCCTCGTCTCTATAGAACATGTTTTCATTAAAAGTAACATTTCTACTTCGATAATTTTCTTGTTTTGGTCATCCCAAAACCTCGTAGCCAAACATGTCGATCCATAACCAATGAAATAACAACGTTTTGCCTTAGGGTCCAATTTATCTCTACTATTAGAGTCTAACATAACATATGATGCACAACCAAAAACTTTCGGATGTGAAAGATTTACCTCTTTTCCGGACCATACTTCTTCGTGTAACTTATAGTCTAAAGGAACCGATGGTCCTCTCGTTTATGAGATAGGTCAGCTGTGTTTATTGCATCTCGCCCAAAATACCTTGGGTAATCCCGACTGGATTCTCATACATCTTGCTCTCTCATTCAAGGTTCTCGTTCATTCTTTTCGCCACACCGTTTTGTTCCGGTGTTCCTGGAACTGTCTTGATCATTCCGATCCCATTGTCTCGAACAAAACTCCTTGAATTGACTACCGTCATATTCTCCACCATTATCGGACTTCAAACATTTGACCTTTAAACCTCGTTTGAGTCTCAACCTCCTTTTTCCACCTTTTAAACACAGAAAACACATCGATTTATTTTTAAGAAAATAAACCCATACCTTTCTTGTAGAGTCATCAATGAAGGTTACATAATATTGTGAACCTCCAAGGGATTTCACTGAAGCCGGCCCCCAAACATCTCGTATGCACTAGTTCTAGTCTTTCAACTTTAGACGACTTACTTGTTTTTGAGAAGCTAACCTTTTTCTCGCTTTCCAAAGATACAATGTTCGCAAGGTCCAACGTCAACATGCTTCACGTTAGGTATTTTACCTTTTGATATCATGAGCTTCATTCCTTTCTCACTCATATGCCCAAGCCTCCGATGCCATAAGGAGGAATTGTTGCCAACTTCTGCAACCGATATCATATCCTCATCTCGCAATCATGTGAGAGATCCTTGCTTCTTTCCACGAGCAACAACAAGATTACCTTTCATTACCTTCCAATGTCCATCTCCAAAAGTGGTGTAATGTCCCTCATCATCCAACTGCCCTATAGATATTAAGTTTCTCTTTAAGGTTGGAATATGTCCGACATTATTCAAAGTCCACACGTTTCCATTAGAGGTTCCGATGTTAATATCACCTCTTCCTATGATATCAAGAGATTTTCCATCTCGCAAGGTAGACCTTCCCAAACTTTCCGAAACATAGTTAGATAATAGTTCTAAGGAAGGTGTAGTATGAAATGACGCACCTGAGTCCATAATCCATGAGTCAATAGAATTATCTAAACTACATAACAGTGCATCTTCAACTTCATCAGTTTCTGCATTTGATGATTGATCATCATCTTGCTTCTTGTTGTTGTTGTTGTCCTTCTTTGGAGCCCTACACCGATTTGAAAAGTGGCCCTTTTTCCGACAATTCCAACAAGTGATATCATTCCGGACTTTTGCTTGTGATCTCCCTCTCGGATTTTGATCTGCCTCGGCCTTGATTACGACCTTTCGGCGACTTCTTCCTCTAGTTTCAAGTACTCAATGCTGAACTCGAATTAGAACCGAAAGATTCTACTGAATTTTTCCTGCGAACATCTTCGCTTAAGATCAAGTCACGGATGTTATCAAGCTTCAACTTGTTATTGCTTGCGGAATTACTTACTCGCAGAATAGCTTGCACCCCAACTTTCCGTAGAGATGATAATAAAATTAATGCTTTCACCTCATCATCAAATATTATCTCGCACTGATGTCAACTGCGCAATAATTGCATTAAATTCACTAATATGATTAGTAACCGAGTTACCTTCACCCATTTTGAGGTTGACTAGCCTGCGAATCAAATGCACTTTATTGGCTGCAGAGGGCTTCTCATACATATTTGACAACGCCGCATCAAATCTACGGTTGTCTTCTCGTTCATGATGTTGAACGCAACATTCTTGGCTAATGTCACCGGATCACACCAAGCGTCTCGCCGATCTAACAACTCCCATTCTGATCGCTCCATGTCGGTTGGCTTCTGCCTGTCAAGGGTAGATACAACTTCTTCCGATACGGATAATCTTCCATCTGCATCTTCCAGAACCCGAAGTCACCGCCATCGAACTTCTCGATCCTCACCTTTCCTTCTTCCAATGTCATTGCTCTTCATCGCTTTCGAAGAAAGCTCCCACTCGCTTCTCTAAACCGAGATTCCCAAGAAAAAAGACCAAATCTTTCTCGATGTGGAAGATCGGACAAAGCTGCAAACCACAGAGCATACTAAGAAAATTGGCTCTTGATACCAATTGTTAGGAACAAGACAATAATAAAGGAAAGAATGAAGGAGAGAAAAATAAACGACACAAGAATTTTAACGTGGTTCGGCTAAAATATGTATGCCTACGTCCACGACTACACTAGGAAGTATTTTTATTTCTGTGTGTATCTCAAACTTTACATAGGGTTGCTTATATAACAAAATAGAGAACCTCATCTCACAATCCTAATCGATGTGGGACTAAATCAAGCACCATAATACTAACAGTTGCTACTAAAAATTGTTTAGGAATAAAATTGAATATTTTATTGTGAGTCTCACATCCGAATTGCTTAAAAGTGGAGAAAGTTACTTAAAAACTCTTTTGAATACAAATTTTGTGTGATTAAAGATGCAAATAACTTAGAAATTAATATTCAAAGTTCATATAAAGCATGATGAATATTTCTTCAAGAAACTTTATGTTAAGGAGGAAAATTAAGATGCAGATAAAAAAACTGTTTCCAAAGTCTATCAAAGGGTCAATCGTACTACCATGAAGTTTGAAAAATAAAAAAAATGAAGTTGATGATAAAGGAAGAAATATTTTAATGAAAAAGTGAAGTTGAACGAAAATGTGATCTCATTCAAAAAAGAAAATGATAAAAATAAAAACAAAAAATTTCAAGCAAAATAAAAAAATATATTAAATTCAAATAAACACATATTAAAGTACGAAAAAAATATTAAGAATATTACTTTATTATCTTTTATTTAAATTAAGTATTAAAATATTTTATTATTTAAAAAAATAAAAAAATATTAATTTATTATTTTAATTTAAATAATTATGAGTGAGATATTATTAATATTTAAAATATTTTATTATATATATATATATATATATATATATAATATAATATAAATAGAACATATACGGATATGATATATATTACTCAAAGTCCTAGAAATTTCTATCTATATATCTTTTACAAGGGTTTATATTTTTTTATAATATAAGGTTGGATATCCCCCATGCCTATCTAACCAAATTTTATTCATGACTAACAAAAAGAAGAATTTAACAAAATTATGAAAATTTCCACAACAATACGTGTGAACAACAAATAGTCATCAAGCCACAAAATCAAAATAAGTAAAAGTTTTAAAGTAGATTAACATATACCGCTAAAAAAAAGTTATTTATGGTAGATAACATTCATATAATTTTTTCACATATTTTTTACAATTAAAAAATCGTCTTAGGAGATTACACAGTCTTTTCATCCGTGGAAATTTTTTTTAGTTATGAAAAATTTAAATATTTTTACGGACTTATATTCATAAGATATTGTCATATACACTAGTCTATACAATTTTTGCATTAACTAATCTATGAAGAATTTGCACTAACAAATTGATGAGAATTTTTTTATAAATTCAAATTAGTAATAATATATTTTCACATCCCAAGTGAAATTGTTATTATTTTATTGTAATTCGAAATAACTTATTTCTTTATATTTTCTATTAAATTCATTGTAATTTAAATAATGAAATATGTTAAAATATTAAAAAAATAAAAAAAAATAAAAAATAAAACATATTATCAAATCATGTTTAACCCTTTTAACATAATATACACCACGTTTAATATTTAATTAATTCAATCTAATGTTAAAAAATTAATTTGAACTATTTATAAAAAATTAAAATGTACAAATTAAACTATTTAATAAAAAAAATCTTAACACTTCTCTTGGAATAATAAACTCTCATATTAGAGAAAGAGTTTTTAATTCATGAAGTAAAAAATCTAATACTTCATATAATTCCAAGAAGATAAAAATATAGTTTTTAATCTAAAAAATTTAGGCAAGTTAAATTTGAGAAGCTTTTCGAGAAAATCTCACAAGCTTAAATGATACATATGTTTTTAAAACAATTCGCATTTTTTCATGTTGGGAAAGAAATTGTTAAAGTTGTAAGCATAATTATAACAACGAGGATGAGAACGAGTTGGAAGCTGAGAAGTGAAAGGTGGAGACCATGTTATATGATAGGCTAAGCGATGAGAGTCATGAGTTTGACAATTGCAAGCCCTTTTTGATAGTAATCAACGATCGAGTATGGTGTCAAACACTTATTTTAAATATTAATTCAATCTTTCTTGGTTTGTCTCATTTTCTCTCAAACAAAATGGGTGGGATTTACTTATATTGATTTAAAGTGTGAACTGGAAATGATGACAGTTGAAAGAATTTACAAAGCTAAAGAATATGATGAAGCTTTCCTGGGAGAATATTCGAGAGAGCGAGGCCGTTATATAACAAAGCATCACTCATTGACAACACTCAGAAACATGGAAGAATCTAACATAAACAACCGCTACAATTATTACTTCCAATCCAACAGAAAGCGTGCCAATATAGTTTGAAAATGCCGATGTTAATTTCCAGCACAGTGCTAAGTAAATTATTCGCAAAACAAGGATATCTATCAGAAAGAGTGTGTTTGCTTTAGACATTCAGATAAAATGTGAAAAAATTATTCCAAGTTGAACGTGAATTATAAATTAACAGGCAATGTTAATGTTTGTTTCGCATTCCCCTATGTATGTTGAAGCATTGGGGTACGTATAGATGCTGCGGCTCTGACATGTGCAACTGGAAAAGGTCAGGGTTTGAGAGTGAGGTGAGTAGTGATGGTGTTCCTTCTTGTTATAGGTGTTGGCTATGTCGAAGGCCGACATGTTAGGAAGTGCAAACAATGCAACAGAGAAGAGTCGTTAATCTTTCTATCTATCTCCACACTGTGTTGTTGTTGGACACAAAAGCTGTGCTCCAGAAAGAGGGGGACCTAAGCTAAAATGCGCGTGCCTAGAGACGTCATCACCTCCTATTACTTTTTCAAAATTTTCAGCCATCACTATGAACATAATCTCATCATTTTCTGAAAGGCTATGACAAATAAACCACAGCCTTTGCTTTTGGATGCTATTTTGTTCTGTCCATCATAATAATAATTTTCTGACAAAAGACATAACCTTTATTCCTTTTGCCTCATTTTCTCAATAATAATTGCTCCCTTTCGATTTCAATTGCCATTTCAAATGTGCTTTCTTGATTTATACAAGAGAAAAAAAAAGTGTCTTTTTTATTATTTTTCTTTTCCATTAGTTTACTTTCCGAGTCAATTTTGGGCACCCTTTTGGACCACTAAGGAATGACAAAGCGCGACCTATTACAACCTAATGGCACTTCATTGTACAGAAAGTATATGGACATTTTTGTTTCTTCTATCACAGCCTCACTTTTTTGTTTTCCTTTGCTTTCTTTTAAACTTTATTTTCTCAAAAAAGTAGACTTCTCCATGCAGATTTGCAAACCCCATAAGCACACTTTGCAGGTTAGCTATTAATGGCCAGACTATATAAAGCGTCAGAAGATGCATCATCAAGGAGGAAAATGACATTTAAATGTGATAATTATGGGTCTTGTTGCTAAAATAGATGAGGGTAATAAATGTTCCTCTGAAGTTATGTGTTCAGGTTTAGGGTTTTAGCCAAAGCTTGGGTGAATGGCGACAAAACACAGGAGGCACAAGCCTAACTTGCCCGACATATATCTCCTGACACAACCAAATATGAACAGCAGGGAATGTTGACCGAAAACCACATCACAGAGATGCCAAAGGAGAGAAGGAATCAAATGCATGTCCATTCTTTATTGGCCTGTCAATGGAGGGAAAAACAAATGAGATCGTTTTTTTAATTTAAAGTTTGCATTTAAAAAGGTCTTTGAGTCGAAAATAATATCAGTTACACATGAAGTTGCCAGCACCATCAACCTTAAGACCATTTGAGTCCTGTACAACATATAGTTTTGTTTGTCTCCTAACCTTTGAATAACCAAGTGGGGACTACTCCATTCCTCTATGACACTTAGGTTTAGCATGATAACTGCTATTTTTTATTGTTATTCAATTGGAATTGAAGTTAGATTTTGATAATATGCAATTCTTGAAATAAAAATTTAATTTTGTTTAAAAACATTACCTACAGTGCTGTACTGTATTTAAGTTTTCTCGTTAAGTTATAATCTTTTGCACATCATATATAGCTTTTAACCTTTAAAATGGCATATATTGATTTTTAAGATTTTAAAAAGTGCAAAATAAAACTATAGATTGCATCAGTTAGAACTAGACCTTATTATGACTGTACAATTACTATTATTATTATTATTATTTAAATTGCCCATGATTTAGTCCGTGACATTTAGAAAAGTTGAATTTCAATTCTAAAGCATTTTAAACTGCACAAAAAAAAAAAAAAAAAAACTTATTTGCCCCTCCATTCCTCATCATTCCCATTTACCTTTTTCATCAGAAAGTAGATTCCATCCTCCTCCTTCCTTCATGCATGAAACAAAGGATGGTTACGTGAAGGAGGTACATTATTCATAAAAAAAAATATGTTAGTAGTTTGTGTTGGAAGCACGAAGACAAATATGATTGCGTGTGGAAGAGATAAGTTTCGTACTTTGTAGGGAGTAGTGGGCAACAATATGAGCTGCTAGCTATAGGGTTGTCAGGTTTTAAGTGTAGTTTAGTTGCGTGGATGGTGCATGTAGATGTAGATTGGTTATAATGGAAAGGGTTTAAGATGGCATAAGAAAAGTAATAAGAAAAGTGATGATGGTGGTTGTGGGTCTACTCATCATAGAGATCTTGACGGTGACTATGACGACGTAGGATCATGTTCATACAGTTCAGGCTGGGACAAAAAGGATTTCAGGTTTCTTGAATTAAGGTTTGGTTTACTGTTAGTGCTTTAATATCTAGTTTGATCCACGGAAAAATCACCAAATAATCCTTTTATTATAAAGGTGAGATTTTTTTAGTCCTTCATTCATTTCCAATAATATTAATTAATGATTTTGGAACTAAATTAAATTCACTTTTTAGGGACTAATTATTCATTTAAAATAGAACGAAAAATGATTGAAGGATTAAAGAATCTGTGTTATCTCTAAGGACTATATATTTTTTTTTACTTCATTTTTTTTATGTATGGACAAGATTTGGATATGTAAGTGAAAGTTCAAGTGCAGTTCAATGGTGAGATTCAAGTTCCCATATATAGTCTAGATTCATTGAGATACTTTTTGCAAGAATGGAGTAAAGATGGTGAAATCCCTGGTTCGAAAATTGAATGGGAATAGAGTCTTGAAAGAAACAGAAGTTTTCTTGCACACTTTTTAAATGATAGAAACTGAGTTGTTCACCATCCAAACTAGTCACAATCACAGGATAATTTAGAAAAAACTAACAGTCATATGCTAATTACGTGGCGCATTTCCTTAATGAATGTTTAAACATACTTTTCTTAAAAGATGAAACTAGGATACTAAATAATGCAGTGTGGAATTATTTTGACAGTAGAAAAAAGTAAATAATAATAAAGTTAAACAATTTAAATTATATCTATTCAATAATGCAGTGTGGAATTATTTTGACAGTAGAAATAATGTTGAAAAAGGAGGGTGAGTGGTAACAGTTATAAGAAGGGTGAGTGAGTAGACTGTTGTCTAGGGTTGAGTGAAGGTTCTCTTGTGAGATTATGTCAGCAGATTCTCCATTACTAAACTGTGAGGAGAGGAGAGGCTTTACAAAAGGACCATTCTCTCCTTGGGATCATACATTTCTTCAAACATGTATGCCCAGTTGGAGTTACTGATACGGATCACTTTCGTCACTCCCAACTCAACATTATGCACCAAATTCATCCTTTTTCTTTTTTCCGTTGTCACTGAAAAAAATGCCAAAAGAAACAACCCAAATCTATTATTACTTTTACAACAGTCAATTAATACAGCATTTATTTTAAATATTTTTAAATTCCATACAATCTGCTTTTATTTTTTCAGAAAGTGATTGGTATAATACTTATGCAGTACCACAAAGTAGTACACTTATTGGTCAATTGTGGAGCTTGATGATTTTGGTTTTTGGTTAAATGAAGCCATTGGAAGGAGAGAACACTGCGGGGCTTCTCTGAATATACTGTGTTTCTCTAACTTCCCTAATAGTTGATGCTGATGGGTTTAGATTTCTTGGGCCTCCAATTTACGGACTAAGTGGCTTATCTTCCTCTTTCTTCTGAGGCATTATTTCTAACAAGGATGTTAGGGAGTAACATAAAGTGTTTATTCCACACTAAAATCATTTAGAGCCATACTACAATATCAACATTTGGATATACCAAGTTTCAATCTGAAAAAAGCTATCAAAGATAAGTCTGATGATGGACTATGTCTAATTCATTCAAAAACTCACAACTAGAACTTTTGACATTTCACTCTCATTTTATACGAATTTTTATAGAAAATATAAAATAAAAAGATTCTTACGAAATATGAAAATTTTCCAGTGATTCGTATTTAATCCTCTTTGGCATATAAGGATGATTCCCTCCATGTGGCCTAAGAACTTTTGACGATGTAGAAGGAATAATGCATGAGCATAACACCTTGGAGTATCACCTGCTTCAATTGTAACAAAGCCTGAGGTGGACCGGTTATAATCGTGAGAAAACTATATATAAATGAGAGATGTGTGTAATGTTATTTTATACGACGCATGCCTGTTGTGAACCCCAAGGAAAACGCTGATGTTAATAACAAAAGCCACTCTTCATTATTCTACCGTCAATATACACAACATTTTGTACACTTCCCGTTAGCAATGATCATAACGTGCATGAAAAGAAAACCTTAGACCACAGTTTCCTTAAAGCTCTTGGTCAACCAAATAGCTGTTTCCCTAGGAGAAACCTTCTCAGGCCCGAACGGCTTCAGCAACACACCAAGCTCATCAAACCTTTGTTGTTGTAGGAGTCTGGCGCTGAACTCCAGCAGACCCTCCAATGCCTCTGCGCGTTGTTGGTATGATGACGTGTCAAACCGGCGCTGATCCACATCAGCAGAGGAACGACTGGAAACACAAGCTTTTACATGCTCAGAATGGCATTCAGTTCCCTTTGGACCAGGGCATGCATCACTGATACTGGTGGGGATACTAACTTTATCTTCCTGGATTGTACACTTGTCCATTGTGATGGAGCAATAAGCAGTAATCCCTGTTGAGCTTGAAGAGCAGCGAGCTGATGTTGATGATGGCCCACGGGTAGAGAAAAAAGGATCCTCACGGGTATCCATTGGAAATTCAGCCATCTTGTCGATTCGTGGTTCATTAACAGAGACATTAGGAGAGTCCAAACTTCCAAGGACACAAAAATTTGTGTACAAGTTTGCTGTCGCCCTGCCTCTTGGTGGTGAGGAAAACCTTCTAGATGGTTTATTAGATACTGGAAGCTGAAATGAAAAGCAGAAACATAAAGATGTAGCCTGGAGTCCATGGGAACAAGTGAACTCTCTTCACCGAGTCAAACATTGCAAACCCCCACCGAGTAAACTCTTGTGCATGCTTGACTCGGTTTATTTTGTAGGTATAATCATTTTTTATCAGTTTCATAAGAAAACTTTTATAAAATATGGGAATATTTCTTGAGTTCAATTCTAGACTCTACCACTAGAAAAACTTATATTGTCAACTAATTAAAAACCACTGTCGATATAACTTCTAAGATAGTTATCGTAACATCAACAAACTTAACATACTTGAGAGTTTGTGATTTGATTATATTGTAAAAATGTAATAAAAATTATCTTTGCTATATACTAAGTAGACATGTTCACTCATGCATGCAGCATGTACAAGCCTAATTCTCTCCTCCCATGATTGGGGATAAAAGAGAAATAAATTGGAACAATTTAACATGAGTTCATTGTTTTTTAAATGGATATCAAGAGAAATGGAAATATTGAGTCATACAGAGAATAAACTTACTGAATCTTGGTTTGGACCAGTATCGGTTGTCTTTGATGGTGTCATTGTTTGCCTTTTGGCAGTGGAAGAAACTGTAACTGCCCTTAACCTTGGTGTTCTCTCAACTGTTGAGAACTTTGTGGCTTTTGATGTGTCAGTATTGTATTTGTTACGTACACGACTGATAGATAGTTCATAGATCTTCTCTTCTGGGGTAGATAATCTATGTGCTCTTTGAGTAGAACACTGAGAAACTTGTTCAGTTCCAGAAATACTTGGATTCAATGCCCTGTCCTTGCTAAATGACAAGCATTTATCTTGGTCAGAAAGAGTAGAAACAGATTCTGGGTCTATGGACCGAGTTCTCCTTACATAATTTGGCTCAGGCCATTGGAAAGGAAAAGTACTTCTCCTGGGGCTATTTAATTTAAGGTGAATCTTATGAATGTAAGGCTGAAGATGCGGATGATTTAGTAATTCTGTAGCCTGTCAAAACAGTCTGTGGTTAATTTGTTTTGAAAAAGTCCACCAAAATAAGTTAGCCAAGAGTCAATGCCATGCAAATTTTGCCTAGACTAGTTATATAAAGGCTGAAAAAAAAATAATAATTTGGAAATGTAGTAATGTCTCACATGAAAGGTATTGTGGCCGCCCATTGCTTAACTTAAAAACTTTTACGACAACTTTCAAGGTCGCTTCATAAATTAGAAGTTAAACTTAAAACTAATGATGATGACTAAAAGGTTAATATCAAATTAAAACTGCATATTATATATGGTCCATACAAGAATAGATGAAGAGATCGAAGCAAGGCATGACCTTATCTATATATTACATGTTTAACAAATCTACTGTGAAAATGGAAATGAAATGCATAGGATAAAGGTCTAAATAAATAATTCTCTAACTAGCCTTCTGGCTTTTGACGTGCATGATGTACATGCCAAAGGCTTTGTTTAAATACTTATTGATGTTGTATTTTGTATACTATTAAGCATGCTCAGAAGTTTCTTCCTCCTTGCTTTAACTGCATATATATCTCCTTAAAAAGTGATGAAAGTGGTAGCCTAACAAATTAATTTTTGACATTTTTAAGTGAAAAATAATGTAAAAATACCATATTATCCAAATTTCCTAAGCTTTCTACACAGTTTTACTCCTATCGTAAAGGCAATGTATTATTTTAAAATTAAAATCTCTTAACCTCTAACTTTCTGCATGCCTCTACAAATTAATGCTCTAGATCTCTGCACATTGCCCAAGCTCAATCTATATACTTTCAGTTATACTTTACTTTGAGTTTCTCTTGAATAATCAAACAAGTATTGTCATGTACAAGTGTGAAACTAGAATCCTGTATATTTATGCTTTTCCCATTGCACATTTTCCACTACCCAGTCTCAAGTGACTCAAACAACAAGAAATAGCTCATTGCGGCACGTATGAACTTGAATAGCAACGTTTTAATAGGGCCCTAGAAATGAAGACTGAGTAAACGAAGTCAAATAATCTACAAGAATTGCTTTGCCTTACAATACATAAGGTGGAAAATTGAAAATTAAAATTATATAAAAAATGAAAGAGAAAAAATATAAATCTGCGTTTGTCAGACTGAAAATATTTGTGTCATACTTACACCCAATGACAATCCAATGCAATTACATAAGCCACATAATAGACAATGGCATATGCATATCATTTTTCTTTTAGACACTAGTTTTAATCTTTATATCAACAGCACATAAATAAGCGTAATGAAACTCCCAAAAGATGGAACTTACAGTTGGCCTCAGCTCTGGATTTTTCCTCAGCATACTTTTGACAAGCCCTCGACTGAAAGAAAAAATATGCATGTCAAACAACTTACACAAATCAAGTCATGAATGAGGTTCCTTACTTAAAGAGGGAATAATTATAATAGCAAAGTTCGAATGATGAGGAGAATCAATAAGATATATTATATACAGGCCAAGGCAGATAACAGAATAGGATTGCTCACTATTAACGGAGTTTCCATTGCAAAGTGTATTATGGCAAACCAAATCCCATGACTAAATTACATTTCATTCTTCTAGTTCTACCATAATGAATGGTTCTTATGTAGATCAAGTATATTGAAAAATGGTGTAAAATTTTAAATGATGTGACATTTAACAATTAACATGGACAACTCTATAACGGAAGATTGTTAAATTTCCAACTCCACACAAAACTTGGAAGCATACGAGGGAGACCATAAAATCTAATGGTAGGTCTTGTAAACTATGGATGCGCAGTAGGGTTGTTACCAATTACGAAATTGATCAATATCTGCATGTATGTACAAAATAACGAGCCACTGACGTGTTTCAAATTCAGTAACAATAGACACTAACATATCAGTTAGATAAAGCAGTTAAAAACAAATAATTCAAAGATTCTCACGAAACAGAGGACTCACAAAGCAGCAGTATACATAGTTGGCAGGGGAGCTACTATACACTTGTTTATTTTGTTAATCAATGATTGTATGTCCTGTTCAAATGAAGAGAACACATAAAAGAAAATTAAAAAGGTAGAGTCGATGATTTAATGTTGACGTCCAAACGTCAGAAATGTGAAATACTGAAAGTCAGTGTGAGAAGCAAATTCTTTCCAAAATGATACAACTAAAAGTCTCAACAGGACCATGAATGCTTAAAAATCGAACAACGTAGTTTTAAATGTTCTTGACAAATTTGTATACCCTTAGAAAAATTTCCTACTTAAGACTACAAAGTTTCTGGCATTTCATTATAAAAAATGAATGCAAAAGCTTCGGATAGTCACTTTAGAAATGTGAAATATTGAAAGACAGTAATGCTTATAATCCAACAGAAGAATTTTAGTTTTAAACGAATCATTGTATCCCCAAGTACATTCTCCTACTCAAGACTAACAAGTTTTGTCAATAACATTTCATAAGAAAAATTATTAAAAAAGCTTTGGATCATGACTTACAAATGCTTTAAAAGCTGGCTTGTGAGCAGCCATTTCATAGATACAGCATCCTGTCAAATATTAATATAATATATACACTTGTTTATTTTGCTAATCAAAACAAATGACAAATGCAGTTAAGAAAGATGTTGTAAAAAGAGGGAACAAAAAGGAGTAATCAAGATTAGCCAATCTCAGGAGTATGAATGCAATCTATCCTACCCAAAGACCAGATATCTGATTTAGAGCCATAGGGTATATCAGCAAGAAGCTCTGGGCACATATAACTTGGAGTCCCAACAACCTAAGTTTAAGCAAGAACAAACAGCAATCAATTCAGAAAAAAAAAATGTCGAAGAAGGGAATATGCGAATATTTTGGCAATATCACACTCACTGAGGAAGCAAGATCATCAGATGTCAACATTTTAGCAAGACCAAAGTCCCCTGCATCCAGCACGCGTAACATGAAGATAGCATACAACACACCAAATCCCAACAGAGATCAAATCTAAAGAACAATGTGAAGATAAAATGAGTTAGGCTATTTACCTAGACGTATATCTTTATCTTTCGTCAAGAATATATTTGAACACTGAAACAGAAGAAAATCCAACATCAACATAAGGCTGTTCCTCAAAGGTCTCTGCGATATAAGCTACATAACATCATCTGTTGTTTAACTTAAAGAAGTCCTGTCCAATACCTTGACGTCACGATGAAGAATATGATTTACATGCAAATAATCAAGAGCCATCAGCAACTGAACGAGCCACTTGCAAAGTTTCTGCATGCAAAAGGTTGACCTATAACAATTATTCTACATAGTTCGAAAGAGCTAGGAGTTGGAAATAGGATAGGCTCAGTTGTGAATGGAGTTTTTGTAAAAGTGATCAACCTCTTCAGGAAAGCTAACACCATTAGCCTTTTTTATAGCTTCAGCCCTGTTCAACAGAGACAAACTATTAAAAGACTAAATGATTTGGCTAGTAAAAGACAATGTGTTAATAAATGCTGTAACTCAAATATTGAAATTCAGTGCAAATTTAGACTTACATATCCCCTCCTTCACAATAGCCAATGATGATACATACAAAACAACCCTGCAAGTAATTCAGTATCAGAAACAATCAAATTTATATATAAACCAATATAATGGACTACAATAGATGTTCTGCTCTCAATATTTTCGTTACTATGATAAAACAAGGGCTTACCTTTTCTACCCAGGAATCTTTATACTCGACAATAAATGGATTTCGAACTCTGGATATAAGCTCCATCTGCAAGACAAAGAACCAACAAAGCGTCTTACAATCTTATAAATGAGAAACCTAAGCTTAAAGATCAACTCCAAATTTCAAGTTGCAAAAGCTAGCTCCACCATAGAAAATACACAGGAATGAATATGTCATTTTCAACATGAAAGCACGTGGCCTTCGTTAATTTTTTCCAGAAAAGAACATTCATTCAATAAAACCCAGCACTGAGAGTAGGTTACCTCCTGGTGGGCAGATCTACGGGTTCTGTCAGTTTGGCGAGCAAGACGAATCTTTTTAAGGACATACCTAAAATGTAAATGGCACAACTCAAAAATGTATACCATATATATCATATAACCGATTATCAATATTAGCAACACTCATATGTTATAAATAAATAATTAACAAATTAACCTGCAAAGGATATATAATATCTTAAAACTCATTTCAACAAGATATTGAATGATCCTCACTTTTTCTTTTCGTGCTTATGCCTCACCAGCAGGGCAGAACCAAATGCACCTTTGCCAATCTGTTCTAGAATTTCATACTGCTCCATTTGAACTAAAGTCACTTTATCACCCACTATGAATGATAGAGTGAAATTCCTGGAAATTATAGCAAATAGCAAAACTGAGCTTATCATAACTAAATATTAACGAACACACCCATTATGTAACATAATCCATTGCCGCTACTAATATGCTGAGCTATTTCCAATAAAAAATGATAATCAGATTGAGAACAATATGATGCACAAATTTAGTCGCTAACTCTAGCCATGTATTTTCTAGCACCATGCTTACAAATCAAATTCCATGTAGCAATGTTACCTGACAAAGGCTTTCTACCACGAAATAATTAGAAAACCAATTTTCAGCTCCAGAAATTATTTCAGTTCCTCATGCTACCACTAGGACAACCACAAGAAATAATTCTGTGGTGGTAACTGACAACTCTACCTGATTCTTGCTGAAATCTGGACATAGAAATAGAACACGACTAAAATCAGGTACGTGTTTAACACTTTCTTCATACATGAGCCTTTCTCGTCAAGGGAGAAATCATTTCCAAACTATAGTTGTATAAGAAACATAAAAAAGCTGCCATACAAAACAAGAGATTTGAAATAAAGAGCGTCAAATCTGACCAATCAGTTCTGGTTTGGTTCTTTACTTCCTTTAATTGTTCAAGGCCAAGGCCAGCAATTATGTTGTTAGTCTTTAAGGGGCAATCATTCAGCACTGCTGAAATAGGTTGTCCGTAGTATCCTCAGTTCCAAGGATTGATCATTCTTGTGTCCATCTACTCATTACCCAGGACGAAAGACATGTTTAACCTTACAAGATTAGATGCTTTTAGTTTTAGAATATAAAATTCAAACTTGCTAACTAACAAGTGGACCAAAGCGCAGAAATTTAAACTCCACAAAAACCCAGTTACGTTAAACATGATTTTTGTTTTTCACGTCATCAGAATTACAAACAATAAGTGCATAATTCAGAATATCAAGTCGGCAGTTAAATATAGACCCCCCATATTCTGACAAGCTGTGAAATTTGACAATTAAAAACAGAAAATGAAGAAAAAAATACAGAAAAGTTTAATTTCCCAGAGATGAAAGCTGATAAATGAAACGGAAAACATGGAAGAGGGGGAAAATATGGAATTCCCAGTAACATACATAAACACAGCAAGCAAGTGACCTTACAAGGCAAAAACTATACACAGATAACGCAACAAGATCAGAATTTGGAACTGTTATCAAAAGGAAAAGAACCTGAATTCGTGAGATTGAGAACGCAATTTGGCTAATGTTACTTAGAAATTTGCAATTGCAGCTTTGTGAAGTGAGCACTGAGCAGCCCCTGTTAATATTTTAAGCCATTATAAACCATATCATACAAAAATATTAATAAACTACTATATGATAAAGTTGTTGCTTTTATTTTATTTGAAATCGAGCAATCAATATTAGAAAGAGAGAGAGCGCCAAAACATGAAGAAGAATAACAGTGCACGCAAAAGCGACGTGTGATTCCAAAATGTGTAATTATTATACTATGACAATTTTTTCATGCAAAATTTTGTACGATGATAAAACAAAATAAATATGTACAAGATAAAGTGATTAAATGATGAAAAAATGAAAATATAATATCACAAAATTTATTTTATAAATAATAAAACTCTTAAAACTAATAAGAGGATGAGAAAGATTCGAAAGTGTGTAAAAGTTTTTCAAGGAAATTGCGAGAGCACTTAACGACAAAAGAGGTGCACGGGTGGTTTTGCAATGACGTACGCATCATTTCTCCTTTCTCCTTCCAAAAAATGTGCTATCAATCTTTTTAAGCTAAATTATATTTCTTCTCTCATATTTATTTCAATTTTTAATTTCCCATTTATCTATGTTGTCTCACAACCAAAAACATGTTCCTTTACTTTTATTTTCATTTTTTTTAACAAATTATCGGTTTTAATGATAAAAATTTACTATTATTACAAATATTACTCTAGCTTTTTAATTAAAAAATAAACTTAACAGCGTAATTTTATCTAACCTATGTAAAAAGTCCATGCAATATATATGATGGCAATAATTTTTTTAAAATTCGTTCCTTTCCTTGTTCACGTTCTATCCATCTTAGGAAGAATGAAATACAGTGTGGGACTCCCTTAAACCCTTCTTCACTTTCATTGTTAGAGATATTTCAACAAAAAAAGAGATTGATTGTTATCTCTTTTCCTTCCTAACACAGTCCTTTCATCTACTTTTGATGATATCAAACAAGGCATTAATGGTAGATAAATGAACCACACTAAAATTAGAAGAGATGAAATATTTAATTAAACATAAATTAACTTGAAAGTTTAAATAAAGATAAAATATATAGTTAATTATTTATTTAACACTTTTTTTTATCAAAAAGAATATATTTTTTCTTTTTTTACAAACTTGATTGTACAATTTCTTTAAAATCATGTGTTATAAAACTTATATTAAATCAAGGAACGTTTCATAACTCTCATTTGTTTTCAAGATATAACATACATTGTGTATGGTTACGAGAATAAAGCATTTAATAGATTGTTCTATAAACATATACATATTTCACTTCGTGTTTACCTTCATGGTATTTGCATGTGTTTGATTATATTAAGAATATGTCACCAACTGAAAATATTTTCTAGTCATAGGCGTGTGATAAAAAAAAAAATCTTTTTTAAAGTTAGAAAGTGTGATGAAATTTTATATTAATTAGAAATATAATAATATTATATATTATAATCTTTTTTATACTAAATCAGTTATAAGATTAAAGTAGATATATATTTCACCAATTTTTAAACAAATAACCAAAATTTTGTTTAAGAGTTAAATCTGTCAAGAGATGTTGCCGCTCTCAAAACAGTTAAGAAGATTATAATTACCTATTTAATGAAAAGGTTTGCAATTAAAAAAAGATAGACATTAAAATATTGAGTATATTTTTTCTTTTAAAGAAACAAATATTATTTCTTCCTTTACAGTAATAATTTAAGAAAAGCAAGACAAACTGTATGAAAAGAATGACCCAGTTCAGTCTAAGGTCAAGTAAAAAAAAAAATGGATTACTTGACTTATATTTAAGAATGAACTGTAATTTTTAACTTAGTTTTATCTAGGCCAATGAATTAATGGATTAAATTTTATCTTATTGAAAATATATATTAATGTATTTACACTAAAATAATTAATTAAAAATATTTAAATATAAAATAAAATATATATTTTTAAATTTTAAATTATATTAATAAAATTAATTTTTATTTAACATATAATAATTTAATATATAAATTATAAAAATTAACACAATCAATAACAAAATAAAAATTTAAAATTTATCTTTTATTATCATCATTTTTATTTTAGTAATTTATTAATATAAAATAATAATTAATCTTAATTATTAGAATTTAAAATAAATTATTGTTAGAAACTTATTCTCATATTTACTCTTATTAATATATATATATATATATAATAATAATAATAATAATAATAATTAATTGTTTTATTTTTAAAAAATATTTTATAAAATAAATTAATTCATAAATCTAAATACTAGCGTGATCTAATCAGGTAATCAGGTAAGTAACAAGAATGATATAAAAATAAATTTAATTCAATTTTGGTTATAAAATTAAGTCTAATTTAATTTATTTTTTAATCTTTTGAACTCATTCATCCCATTAAACTTATTTTCACCCCATAAATAAACTTTATAATTTATCTAGTTTTATGTGACTAATTGATAAAAACATTTAATCTTAGAATTATGGATTTTTTTTTATTCCCCTGTATAATTCATAAAATTGAAAAGAACCAGTGGGTGAACAACAATTAGAAATGACAATATGAATATAATATGCATTTATCTTTCATTATATTTTATATAACTCGCTATATTTTAGTGTTTTCTAATTAAAAAGAAAAATTTAAGATTTATTTTTCAGAATTTTTAAGTTAAATTGTTAAAAGAGGGAAAAAGCTTTGTCTCGTAGATACATATCTTGTTTAGAATTTTGGTTTAAAGACAGATTTCATTACTAAATCATAGGCAACTTTAAAAATTAGAACATAAAATTTTAAAAATATTTTTTATTATTGTTTTACTGATTTTAATAAGAATTATTATATAAGAATTCAAAATCTTTATGTCAAAGATTTTGAACATAAAATCTTGAAACAATGCATCTTATATTAAGATTTATGTTAAAGATCCACTAATAAAATTAATTTAAAGAGAATATTTAAGTGTAAAGGAATATTAAATAAAATATTTTAACAAACATATAAAAAAAATACTTCCAGGACTCGTGTTAATTAAATTAATAAATGTAGCATTTGGATTTGATAGTTAAATTATCAATAGACTTTATTGGAATAAATTTATTCATTATTCTTTTCTTTACATATTCATTGTTGTAATCTAATGAAGAAAAAAAAATTACTTTATTACTCAAATATTGGTCAAATGCTACTTGTGCCTAACATGTTTTCCACGTAATATATCTAAAGTGATTAAATAAAAAAACACAATTTAACTTTCGCAGAAACAGGAAAAAGTGCACGAAGAAAAAAAAAAAACCATATAATTCCATTTCAAAGAAATCCTTTCAAAAGCTTACGAAAATTGTATTTATTTTCTATCTTTTTTTTATTAATTATTTAATGGTATTTAAAAAATATATATAAGGTTAAGTAAAATTTAGCAAATAAAGTAATATCATATGTATTGGTTTACGATATTGCAACTGTAAGTAATTTAACATAATACCAATACCAATTTTACATTACTATTAGTAATACATTATTACACGATAGAGTAGAGTATATATATAACTTTGTATAAGAACCATTTTCCCTTGTAGTTAGGTTTTTAGTTCATTCAATGTCAATTCTGAGTTAAATATTTAGGTTGGGTTGTCAATATCTTCTTTTTAGAAAATTAATGTCTACCTTTCCTATTTTTAATTCGTATATCGATCACTGCACTTTTTTTCTTCTTCAAACATGTTTAATAACTAAATAGTAAATATATTTACATGTCTAATTACTTTATTATTATAATATATTTTGGTTAAACAAATAATGAACAATATGTCTCAAAACAGAAGCAGAAAGAGGCGGAAGAAAGGGAATTAGCTGAGTCACGTAAAAAAATATTTTAAAATTTTATTAAAAAAATATTTTAAAATTTTATTAAAAAAATATTTTAAAATTTTATTAAAAAAATACTATAATTCTTTAAAAAATTATTATTTAAATTTATTCTCATAAGCGAATTTTCTGATTCGACTTCTATCTCAAAATATTATATTTTTTTCCTCCCAAATTAAACAAGGTATACATAAAAATGTTGTTTCCCTTTAAGAAATACTTATCTTGTTATTCAACTTTTGCATTAACATGTTTGTTTTATTTACAATATTTATAGATGTATTTTTTTTATATAGATGATAATTAATATACGCACTTTAGTAGAAGTTCTCTCTCATCTAAATTATCTTAGAAGTTGAAATACATAAACTGGGCTGCAGAGTGGCACTCAATGAAGGCTTATTAAGTGAAATTGGGCTTAATGCCCCCATAAATCATGGGTTTTAGTTAAAGGGCCCAACATTAACATTAATTCCTTATCCTCGTCTATGAGACCCAAATTTTGTTTTTCTTTCTTAGTTTTCCCGCGGAAAAAGAAAAAGAAAGAACTAAATTCATTGTTTATAGATTTAACTTGTACGAATGAACAAATAAAAAATTTGTTTTTTGTTTCATAAAACAAATACTTTATCAAACAGAGAAATAGAGGCACTCTATCCAAATTACATAATTCTCACATAATCAATAAAATATATAATTGATCAAACTGAAGAAAAACCTACAAAAATATGTTAGAACAGTTTAAATATTTTCTAAATGACTCATACAACACTGTTTAAGTGTTTTTCAGAAGGCTAGAAAAATATCATTTTAATATATTACATAAAGTCAAAACATATTTACCACAAATTAACCATGATGCGTTACCTATATATATATATATATATATATATATATATATATATATATCATAGGGTTAACATAATAAAGTTAAGAACTTATATTTATAGCCTCATGAGTGGCCAAATTATATATATTTGTGTTTCATCCATGAATAAAATCATATATTATCTGAAAATTTCAAAATAAAACGAACATGTTATAGACTTAAGCACAAACGTTGATGTTTATATCACAATCATAAATTTGACAACGAAAAGCACATCGTAATTTTTTAGTTTAAGAAAAAAACAACATTAAAAAGAAAGTAAGTAAATTGAGAAACATAATGTCGACCACCATTGACTACCGTAGCTATCACCCAACAAATGCTACAAATGTAGTCTGAATCATGATGATTAAGGAAGCACTACATGTGATGTGGCTTTAGGTTTAATATATTATCATCGTGCGCAAATTCTACAGACATATTATAGATACTAGTAGCTTTCCATTTACAGAAGCCCTTTTTTAGGTTTAACTGCAAAACTCAACAATAATTTTGAAGAAAATAATAGTTCAAAAATAAAATCCATTCTTTTTATGAATCTAGAATATTGATTTAAATATTTACTGTTGAAGACATGATAGAATGTATGGAGATTTGTCTATAAACTTTAAATTCAACAAACACATGAGAAGATAAAAGAAATCTTATACGAATATAAAACTAGGTTTTCAAACATAAGTCCATCACAGACTATTGAAATTTTTAGGAGCCACACATCTTGCAATCTAAATCACTGTTAAATGTCAACTTCACTCAACCATGAACAATTTTTCAATTGCAATTTTTTGTTGACTCTCAAGTGTGCATGAGAGAGTTGATGAATCCGATTGGAGAAAAAATTAGAGATGTTATCGAGTGAGATAAATTCTCTTTAAGCCAAGCTCAGTTGTTAGAATATATATATGATGAAAAACCTTAGAAAGATGAGAAAGCTTAACCAACGACCACTAATGGTGGCCACAGTTTGTGGATGTTAGAATATGACGTTAGTGGAGGGTCCTTCTATAATGTGCTGCTACAACCCTATAACTCAATTATTGTTTTAAATGGATTTCAGCCACAACGCAGGGTCCCAGATGCAGCAACATTCGAGCCATAGGACAGTATCCTCATGATGCTATCTCAATATGTTCCATTCTCATAGAACCTCCCAAATTTATGTTCTTCTGCTATGTCTAGGTCTTTAGAGAAATTTGGAGATTCATGATCTCTGCAACCATCATTACATTGTTTATCCAAAATCTAGTCAACCAATAGTGCTGTCAGAGATATCAAATCAAATCCACCTTCATGAAGTCAACGCCCAACTTGCACACATATATAACTCACTATGCAATATATGTTTGTATGAAAATTAAACTTGTATCACAAAAATGTTTATTCAGCATCCCCATAGTGAAACAGATATGAAGCATATGCAGTGTTTAACGTATAGAAACAATTTTTAACAATGGTGGAGTTTCATCATGCAGTGCAGGGAAACGTGGTTATGCTTTCGAATTGATTCGAGACCTCTTCCTTCTCAATTTGTATGTGGTGTTGGAGATACATGTTGTAAAATGATAGAAAAAGAAAAAAAAAAAACTAGCGTGATAATAATGTCAATCAATATTCTCACATCAATTAGCATTCTACGTAAATTGGGCGTAGAGTTTAGGGTTGAGGTTGATGAAAAAGTAGTTTTATTCTTCTTTTTGTATTTTTTTTTCTAAGAATAATCACATAAGCTTCCAATCCAACATAAATGTATGTATAATTTCGTGGTGATTGTTGTTTTAGTCCTCAGAAACTGTGCATGTATATGTTGAAATATGAATGTAAAGCAATTAACAAATGAGAGGGGATGTGAAATTTTTGTTTTGTAAAAAAAGAAAAAAAAAACCTCGTTTCTAGAAGAATTTGATGAAATTAGTGATTTCAGATAATGAGAAAAGTTGAACCAAATAGAGTTGCGAAAAGGAATTAGTAGAATGCGACAGCTCAAGGGGAAAAACAAAGGTCAAAGGATTGATTTATCTATTATTTACAATTAAGAATTGATTTACTTCAACAATTAATAGATGTGTGGCGAATAATATAAAATTAATTATTTTTTGGAGAATAGTAAGAAGAATAAAATAATTTTTATTGTATCAATCATCATAAATAGTCAATCATATAATCATTAAGATACTTAATCAGCAAAGTAATACATTTATCATATCTAAAAAATATTTTGTGATGGAAAGACAATGCAAATATATATGTGGCAATAGATGAAATAAATAATGTGATGAAAACAATAAATATTACAAAAATTAAAGTATATTATTACTTTTAGTTTTTTTTTCTTCATTTTTTAGATAAACTCGTTTTTATGCATTAAATGTGGATAGTATTCCCACTCATCCACTTTTTGTAACACTATTTAACTTTAAGAAACTAACATTGTATTTTTAAAAAGTAAATATATTAAAATAATTTTTTAATTTGAAAGATAAAAAAAATACAAATTCCATAATTAAAAAACAATGAACTTTTTTTTATTTTTTATCAAACATAGACTGGTAATAAGACCTTTTAAAGTAATGGGTCCAAGAAGCACTATTATATTCAATAATGAAGTCACTTTTTTTTAAAAAATTCAAGATTTAAGACAAGAAGTAAATATTTATAAATAAATAAAATTAGATCTCTCATCTAATTTTGACTATATTGATTTAATGTTAGATTTTAAAAAATCAATATTTGATAAATTACCACTCACAGTCTAATATTGAATAAGTGAACTTTTTTTTTTCCAAAAAAGAAAAGCAATAGGAATTTTAACGGTGTGAATCACGGAATTTGTTTCTTCAACTCTGCAACTAGGTCAAGGTATTTTTGGGGGCACATATTCACACTTCCCAAGTCTATTTAAAAACATTATCATTAATTCATCAATTATGATGGATAATGATTAATTCATCAATTATTTTATACAACATAGTACTCAAACAAAAAGGGTAACTTATTTGTTTTTTTTTTATATTTGTATAATTTATTTAATTCAAATGATTTAATATTAAAAGTTTCAATTAAATATTTCAATTTTTAAATTAGTGTTAATTTAGTATTTATTCTATTTTTAAGTTGAAAATGCGTGAATTCAAAACGGTTTTAGAAAATTCAGAAAGGTCAAAATTTGAGACAATAACTTCTCATAGGAAACTAAACTAAAATAAGGCATTTTGAATTAATTATGGATTTTTAAATTTTAATATACTTTTATCAATAACTGTATTTCTGGTATATTTTTGGGACAAGTGATACTATATATTATATGTGGAGGGGATTAAGTTTCTCGCTTTAATCTCTGCCAAGAAAAACTCAGGTAGGTGTAAACTCAAAATAACATTATTTTTAAAAACTTAGATATGCTTTGATCCTCATTACCAATAAAAAAAACAACAGGTAGCTGAAGCTATATGAAGTGAAGAAGAAAAAAAAGAAAAGAAACAATGATAGATATTGGTAACAAGTTCCACTGCACTAAGAAAAAGGTGGAATCGATGATCTCAGTGTCGAGAGTATCTGAACGTGAGATAGGGAGTGAAGTCATAAGCCATAAAATTAAGAAGAAGATGCGTGTGAGTTTCCTGGCTTTTGCTTCTAAATTAATCATTATTTTCATCACTCCTTACTTGGGTAGCCAGAAATAATTATTATGTTAAAGTTGAGATCCTTAATTGGTTAACATGTCACCCTTCCCTCCGCCATTCGTCTTCTCAACTGTTCTGGCTCTTTAATAGGGGTTTCTTTCAACACCCTCAAACCTTAAAAATGAAAAAAAGAAATTCTCACACACTCTCATTTGTTTAATAAGGTTGAAACGCCCAATTTGGTTTTTTACCACGTAATCATTTTAGCACACCATTGTATAAAAAAATAACATGACATGAAGAACATAACAGATAAGGCGTTTATCATCACATTTTACACCTTTGTTGTCGTTCTTGAGTTGATTAGGTACTTACTACAGATGTTCCTATGTAGTAGCATAAGATTACGATCTGCGGTAGAGGATACTTGTGATCAGAAAAATAAAAATAAAAGAAAAAGATAAAGCAGAAACAGAAACAGTAGAAATGAAAGAACAATCATAGCACGTACACCTCAGCATTCCAACCTTCTACCACACACATGACCAACATAAGTGCCCTTTACTCCCTTTATATAAACCCATATCATTCGCAACACCCTCATCACTTGTACCACCAAACCTCACCCTTACCTCTTCTTCCTTCGTATCCTTCATTCTTATCCCCTTCTCAACAACTTTTCTGGTGTCAGCATATATAACATATATAGTCCTTAGCTAGCTAAATCATTTGAAGTTAAGTTACTCTAATTTAACTAGCATCACATATATATATATTTGGTGCTGTGTTAGAGATGGGTAACGCAGACTATGCATACCCGAACGTGGAGTGCGGGCACAGAGTGGCCATTCCACCTCCTCAACCATTCTTCAAGTCCCTCAAGTACTCCTTGAAAGAGACCTTTTTCCCAGATGACCCGTTTAGGAGGTTCAAGAACCAAACACCCTCTATGAAGTTCGTCCTTGGACTTCAGTACTTCTTCCCCATCTTTGAGTGGGCACCCAAATACACCCTCCACTTCTTGAAATCAGACCTCATATCTGGCATCACCATTGCCAGTTTGGCCATTCCTCAAGGCATCAGCTACGCCAAGCTCGCCAACCTGCCTCCAATTCTTGGACTTTGTCAGTAATTAGTTTCACTTCCACCTTCTCCTCTCCTCGTCTTATTTCTCATTTGATTATCTGTTTCTGTTGATAAAATCTTTGCAATATATAACTCAAGATATAGATTTATATGTCTTCGTATACAGAAAAAAAAAAAAAAAACTTATTTAGAGATATTAGTTTTTAATAACATATTAACATGTTTTTGTCGATGATTAAACATAATCAAATAACATGACTGAACTTTTATATTAATCACGTTTTCCATTTACAAGAGATATATAAACATACATCAGTGTTTTCAAATATTAGCCTTCAACTTCTACTCTGCAATATGAGTTCACCCAAAAAATACTCAAGTTTAGACCCACTTAAAAAATTGAAACCAAAAGTAGAAGTTAAGCCATATACATTTGTTTAGTTTGGTAAATTTTTTCCATGGTATCTTGTTTTGTTATAATGGGGGAGCACGTATGGATGAATGAATGAATATGCAGATTCGAGCTTTATACCGCCGTTGATTTATGCCATGATGGGGAGCTCAAGGGATTTAGCAGTGGGAACTGTGGCGGTTGGATCGCTTCTGATGGCTTCCATGTTGGGTCGAGTGGTGAACTACAACGAGAATCCAAACCTTTTTCTCCACTTGGCTTTCACTGCTACATTCTTTGCTGGAGTTTTGCAGGCATCACTGGGCCTCTTGAGGTACTCTATTATACTATATAGTTCTACTTGTGCTATGTTATAAAACATGTTGAAAAGAGAAAATCATGTTCTAAAAAGTAAAACACGTTATTAGTAACATAAGCATACATTAGTAATATAGCAATAATTATTTAGTTTCTTTCAATAATTTTTAAGCTTTATGAGACGAGAGTTACCTATTAATTAAAGTCTAATTATGTTTTCATGCATTATTTTTTTTAAATATCATCAAATTATCTAATAGAAATAACTACATATAATATATCATTAATGAATTATAAGTCATATTTAATATGACTTAATTAATTAAAAAGTTTAATATTATTGATGAAAGAATAATATTAATTTATTAAAAAATAATAAGATTAAATTGAAATTAAAAAGATTAAAAAATGAAAAAAAAAAATTAACCCTATTAAATAATAGTTTTTAGCTAAATGTACGATACAATGCAAACAAAATGAAAGTGAAGCCCGGCATATGTTGTTGTGACATGTGAGAGAGTTGTAGTATCTATCTTCAAAAATCTTAATTTAAAAGTAGAAAAGTTGCAGTATTTAAAAGGGAAAATAGAGTGAAAATAGTGTGTGCAGTGTTGTGTAGTTCGCTATGGGCTGGAGTTTTTGTCTTTTGGTAATAATTTGTGTCGTGGAAGGATTTGTATTTTGCAATTATGAGATTCAACCCCCACCCATTCCCTGAAGCATATTCATGTTATTTTTATAATAAAACATATAGAATTCTGGAATCAGCTTAGGCAGTGCGATTGGCCACCAATTGGCTACTACCTCCACTTTCACTTTCATTAATACTCATTTGTATTGGATGAGCATTTCTGCATCCACCATCTCAGTTTTTTTATATTCAGTTTTATACTTTTGGATTTGAAGAGTGATACTGTTGAAAATTATAATTTTCATTTCTTAAAATAATAATAAGAATTCTGAGATGATTCACATGATGTTTGGCTTAAAATATTAAGATTATTCATTTGTCGTTTAGGTTAGGGTTTATCGTGGATTTTCTGTCACATGCAACCATAGTAGGGTTCATGGGGGGAGCAGCCACAGTGGTTTGTCTGCAACAGCTAAAATCAATTCTTGGCCTTGAACATTTCACTCACGAGGCCGATCTCGTCTCAGTTATGCGCTCTATTTTCACCCAAACTCATCAGGTACCTACACTCAACACATTATTCACACCAAACGCGCACTATCATCGTTGTAAAATATGTGTTTTTCAATTCTTCAAGTATAATTTTTTTTTATTAATGTCTATGCAGTGGAGGTGGGAAAGCGCTGTGTTGGGTTGTTGCTTTATTTTCTTCCTCCTTGTCACAAGATATTTCGTGAGTGATACCTAACCCTTACCTTAATTATTCTACTACACATATTCTGTTGCTTTATTTGGTAGGTAAAATTTAGATTAGAGGGAGGCACATTATATATATGCTGCATTTAATCCTTCATTTTCTTTTCCGTTTTTTATTCCTTCAACTAAGGTTGTAAAGTATACAAAGAAAGAAAAAGAAAATACCCAAATGTTATTATACTAAGAACCATGACTTTAACTGTGAAGTGATCAACTTATTCTTTCCATAAACCCTATTTTCAATCCTAACCTACCTTCCGCATTTGATCCCTTGCTCAAAGTTAACAAGTTTTTCAGAGAGAATTGACTTGTATATAACTTTTTTATGTTCCCAACTGCTGCCATGACGAGGTAATATATATAATCATACCATAAACAATAGTAAATTATATTCATTTTTCTGTTATGCTATTAGTTTTTATAATACTATTGTAGTCAAACAAATCAAACTTGTTTCCATTCGATGCCCACTTGGTAGCTTATATTCGATGAACCTGACGGAAAAGGACATAAATTCCCTTCACACTGCTATTCTCAGATGATATAATGTTTTAAAATAATGTACAGTAAAACATTAGGGCCTGTTTGTTTGATTTACTTTTATAATTAAAGACGCTTTAATAATTATTAGTACACGTTTAGATACCACAGGAGAAAGTTCAAAAGTGCTTTTACTTTTAAAATAACAAATTGTTCTTTCTTTATAATTCTGCAAACACGTTATCAACTTTTGGATTATGATGACAGAGCAAACGACAACCAAAGTTCTTCTGGGTGTCAGCAATGGCACCGTTGACGTCTGTTATACTGGGAAGTTTACTGGTTTATGTCACACACGCTGAGAAGCATGGAGTTCAAGTGGTGAGTATTTTATTTTCCAAGTTCCAAGTTCCATGTAACAATAACACTCCATTTTGTCACGCACTATTATTGATTGGCACTCAACCAAACACGGCACTAGTGACTGCCTGATAGGAATAGGACAGACACGGAGGCTCACATGTATTAAGGCCTTTTGGGTTCTTGTCAATGGCCCAATCCCAAATTATTGTCCTGCCCTACTACACAACCACCTTGTGGGACCGTTCAACACACGTTCACTATTGGGCCCCATTCACTTTAAACACTGGCCCGTTTAGTAAACAGTGTTTTCATGCTTTTCTACAATACACCACCATATCATCATTCAAATTATCTGATTAAGAAAATTGGGAACTGATTAAGTCTTTATTTTGTGATGTGAAGTGATTATTTATTATGTTGTTTCAGATAGGAAAATTGAAGAAGGGGCTGAATCCACCTTCCGTGACGGATTTGGTGTTTGTGTCACCTTATCTGGGCACTGTCATAAAAACTGGACTTGTCACTGGCATTATAGCACTTGCGGTTAAGTATCTCTCAGTCTCATTGCCTTTGCTAGAGGGTAACCTTGAGCATGGTCCATGGCTTAATGGCTGATTTGACAAATTTCAACTCTGATAAATCACAGCCTAACTATTAAATGTTTCCAAAATTCATTGTAATCAATCAATTTTGAAAAAAAAAAAAAAATGCTTTAACTTCGGGCTAAAAGAACTACTGTGTATCAACACAGCCTTTCTTTTATCATGTATAACAAGATAGTTTAGTTATTAAATATTTATTCAATAAATTTTGTGAAATAAAAAATCAATCAATCAATCAATCAATCGCATTGTCCTACTTTGACAAAACACTTCTCGACCAACCACAATAATATACAGTCACGTCAAATGATCACCTTCTTTTTTTGTTGTGTCGATTTCTGGTCCTGCTTTGATCGGTTATCCTGATTTCTAAGATCATGTTCCAAATGCTTTTTATACTAAAATAATATGCTTCAATTCAACTAGGTGCACCAAGCAAGTGTTTTAGTCTGTTTTAATTGTATTATGATATGTAGTTGATATATAATTTTAAGATGGATGTTTCTTCAAACCGATCGTCAAAATAAAATTTTTCTTAAAGGTACTATGTAGTTTAGCCTTTGGCAAATGGATAAAAACTGGACAGAACATAACATTTGAAATATATTTTATATTAGGTTTATTTTAAAAGAAAAAGAAGAACATAATTGAACAAAGTGAGTTTATTAAATGCTTGCTTATCAGTCATGGCAACAAGTTCTTGAGAATATAGTTGACTATTGTGCAGGAAGGAATAGCAGTGGGTAGAAGCTTTGCAATGTTTAAAAATTATCATATTGATGGAAACAAAGAGATGATAGCTATTGGAACCATGAACATTTTTGGTTCGTTCACCTCTTGCTATCTCACCACAGGTAATTGTTTCACTATCAAAAGTTGATGTAAAATGATTACATGTGTGTTTTACTATATCTATTTTTAATAAAATTTAACCAAAAATAAAATGTGCTAGTTTAAAGATATTAGAGATTGTGCTGTTTTCAATCTTCATTGTTCATATGTATGCTTGGTGTTTTACCTCAAGCCCTTCATCCAGAAGAAAACACACAGATTGACCAAACAGTTTTCTGCATCAATTGCTAACAACATGGCATAAAACGAATGTTGTTTCAGGACCTTTTTCACGATCAGCTGTGAACTATAATGCTGGGTGCAAGACTGCTGCATCGAACATTGTGATGGCAATAGCAGTGATGTTAACTTTGTTATTCTTAACACCCTTGTTCCATTTCACTCCCCTGGTGGTGCTATCGGCCATAATTGTGTCAGCAATGCTCGGACTCATTGATTATCAAGCAGCCTTTCATTTGTGGAAAATCGACAAATTTGATTTCTTAGTGTGCTTCAGTGCTTATGTTGGCGTGGTCTTTGGCAGTGTTGAAATTGGCCTAGTCATAGCAGTATGTATCCCACTGTGAACACTTTTGTCACAGATATTGTTCAGATAAACATTCCCACAATTATAAGATATCAAGAAATAAGTTTTCCCACAAGGAAGTTAATGTGTTTTCTGTGAATGAACAGGTTGCAGTATCTCTACTTCGATTACTTCTATTTATTGCAAGGCCAAGGACATTTCTCTTAGGAAACATTCCAAATTCTGCAGTATACAGAAATGTGGAACAATATCCAAATGCAAATCATATTCCTGGAATCCTAATTCTTGAAATTGATGCTCCCATTTACTTTGCCAATGCAAGCTATATAAGAGAAAGGTAAGCTACCAGTGATTTTGCTCCTATTTGCATCAATAAAATACTTCCTCCAAAGAAATTGTAAACTCAACATAAGATTTGTTCTTAGGATCACAAGGTGGATTGATGAAGAGGAAGATAGAATTAAAGTTTCGGGGCAAACCAGTTTGCAGTATGTTATTATGGATATGACAGGTAAGTTTTTGATGAAATGAAGCATGTGATTAAAAGGATCTTAATCTAACTTGCAATGTAACTTTAATGGCAGCTGTTGGAAACATTGATACAAGCGGAATAAGCATGATTGAAGAGTGCAAGAAAACTGTTGACAGAAGAGGCTTACAAGTAAGGCTAGTTATATAGCTAGTTTTACTTGTAGAGACACTTAAATTGTTTATTTTATAATAATTTCTTGCTATGTGTGTAGCTTGTTTTGGTGAATCCAGGAAGCGAGGTGATGAAGAAGCTGAACAAATCTAAGTTCCTTGATGAACTAGGGCATAAATGGATCTATCTGACAGTTGAAGAGGCTGTTGGTGCATGCAATTTCATGGTCAACACACACAAACCAAACCCCATGAAGGATGATTCAGAAGGTTGGAACAATGCCTAATAAAAGCATTGTTTAGATCTGCTAAAGCTTACGAGGTTTTATCTAAGTTAACCTTACACTACGTGGCATGAGAATCATGCTGCACAAGATTTAGAGAGTATCATAGTAGCATGAGTATTTAACTTTCTCAAGATAATTAGTTGGAAGAAAGTTCCAACGTAGGCTTTTGAATTGAATCTCTATATATGTTATGCTTAACTAATAATATATTCTTATCTCTATCATTTTCCATTCATAGGATATATTGTGAGTTTTCCCATCCTAACCTACACCATGGATTTGTAACCCTCAAACTTAACTTAGTGGGTAACATATACTTAACTTAGTGGGTAACATTGCATATGTTATTGCTTCACTATAAGTTGTGCTATGTTATGAAGAAAAACATTATCAAATAAACGTGTCTCTAAGAAGTTTCGTTTTTTTTTTTTTAACATATCAATAAATTTGATAAGATTTTATTCAAAACAATTTAATGGGATTATGCCATTTTTTTAAGAGGTAACCCGTAATTATTATATATTTTTTTTAAATCTCATTTACAACAATCTAATTATTGAGAAACTATTAAAAAATCAAATTGGATGGAGAAAATTAATTTATAAAACAATTTGCACAATAAATCTTATAATAGATAGAAAAATTATGAGATATACAATTAATAATAAATAATATAAAAAATAGAGATAGAATATTATTTATGAATTATGTGCTACAAATGACATATCTTGATTATATATTATTTCATTCTCTCAAATGATATTTGCGGGTTGAAATATAATTATAAACCTATTTATATATAATATATTTTTTCTTCAATAACATAATTTATTTAAGTATAAATAATAAGTGAAATATTTAAGATAATTAACTTATCTAATCTTATAGACAAATAAAAATATATATATATATATATATATATATATATATATATATCAATTTCACCACATCAAATTAGATATTTTTTAAATATTTTTTACAAGGTTAGTACTATATTTTAAATTTAGATAATAACATATATGTATTATATTATTAACAATATTACATAAGATATTTCAATTTGGTCACTCTACACACAAAATAGTATTATGAACCATATTACTTCATCAAACATATATTTGTTATATTCTCGAAATAAGTCATTAACAATTTTTTTATTGTTTCTTCTTATTTAACACCTTAATATATGTGACCATATTATTAATAAAATCTGATATTTCACTAAATATGTACAAACGTAATTATAATTATCTAATTGTAAACACTCATATAAATATAATTTTTGTACTAAAATATCACATTATCTACCACAGGTAGATTTTTTCTTCTTCAAGTAACTATTAAATTTATAATTCGAAATAACATTATTCTATCAATATTTACCTTATTCACATGCTATTAAATTTATAATTCAGAAATAACATCATTCTATCAATATTTACCTAACTAGTACCATTTTTACATAGACGATTGGAATTCGGTTCCCAGGATGCTGAATTCGACCTCACTAATTAATATAATTTTTAAAATAAAATAATATTTATTAAATATAATAATTAAATATAAATATATATATATATATATTATATAAAATAAATATATAAGTATATATATATATATATTTTTTTATTTATTTATATAATTATATGAAATAAATATAAATATATTTTTTTAAATAACATAAAAACATATTTATATAATTATATTATTAATATATTTTTATAAATATAGTAAAAATATATTAAAATATAATAAAAATATTTATATATTTCTATAAAAAAATATTATTTTTACTTATTAAAATTATTTTATATTAAAAATATATTTAAATAATATATATAATTTATTTATGTAAAAATGTTATATAGAAAGATATAAATATATATTTATTATATTTTATTATATTTATAAAAATATAAATAAATATTTAAATATTATATATATATTAAATAAATTTGTTTTTACTATATTTATAAAATTATATTAATAATATAATTATATAAATAATTAAAAAAATAGAATATATAATATATATATATATATTATATAAAATATATATTTATATTTAATTATTATATTTAATAAATATTATTTTATTTTTAAAATTATATTGATTAGTGAGGTTGGAATTCGACTTCCTAATAATCGGATTCTAACTGTGTAAGAAAATTGTGCTAATCGGGTAAATATTGATAGAATGATGTTATTTCTGGATTATAAATTTAATAGGATGCTAGTGAAGAAAAATAATCTAAAAATGTTTGATTTTTTATAAAAGTGTGATACTCATGTAAATATTATATGCTATATATGAAAATTTATATTAAAATAATGCTAAGCGGGGGAAAAGATCACCAACTTCTAGATATCATTTTTATTGTGATTTTGTATTTATGTGTATTCAATTCTCATTTTTCTTACATAAAAATTATAATAAAAATGTAAATTGAACTTTTATAATTAAAAGATTTTATAATAATGTAATAATCTTTTATATTTTTTTAGAATATAAGATTTTATAAGTTGAAGTTTGAAAAATTTATGAAATATGAGATCATAAAGTTTAAAAATATTTTTTAAGTTTACATGAAATTAAAGGTAGATTAAAAAAATTTTATAAGTACTTTGTATTTCTATCTACGGTAAAATATATTTTGACCTATATAAACTATTCAAGATACAAATAACATTTGATTCTACACTACTTAGTTATTCTTAAAAATAGTAAATACTTTTATTATTTGTCCTACATTATTTTATAATATGTTAAACATCCCGTTAGAAAAAAGTATGACTGAATTTTCTATCTCTAGCAATTATAAAGTTAAGAAGGATAACAAATAAATTATAAAATTTGACTTAAATAATAAAAAATTGATACAAATTAATAACTAACTGATTCAGGTTGTCCTTTTATATAACATTACATTTCTTCAAATATATAAAACTATAATAGTTCTCTAAAAAATTCCCATTTCTACGTGTCTAAAAAATAATCAAAGTTATAATGATAATTGCTAATTGGTATTTCTAAACATAAAAATTCATCTATTAATTCAATAGAAATTCATCACAACAATAAAATAATAAAAATTGTTAAATATTTTTTTATAACTTTTTAATTTACACCTCTGTGATAATATTTGCAATGTTTATTTGTTCAAAGCTTATAAAATTTTTTGTTGACTTTTTATTTTATATTATATTTTTAAAACAGAATTTGAAGACTTAGCAGAATTTTTTAAAACATAAAATGCTAGCATTTTTAGGCATTTAAAAAGCATTTTAACTAAAACGGTTTGAGTTTTCTGTTTTTTTTATTATTTTATTTAAATACATCTTTGGGATCAACTTTTTGTCTCCCTTGTATTATACACGATCTAGTTTTTATGTGAAAATATATTTTTTTCTACAGTTGGTTCCCTTGACTTGTTATCTAGTAGTGTTATATCTCTTGTGTATCTAGTGTTTTATCTGTCAACAGCAATGAATCACTTCTAAGTGTTGGAGAAAACAATTCCTTCTATTATGATTTTTTAGAATATACCAATTATTGGATTCCTTTAAAATTAAGTAAAAAAAAAAAACAATTTTTTACTATAAAATACCTTGGTCTTGGTCAGTGTTTAGAATGAAAAAAAAAATGCTGTGTTTTATTTTTCATTAATCAGAAAAGTATGAAATGTGTTTGTTCTTAATCGAAAGGAAATTTACAAAGAATAAAAATAGAAATGATGCACTCGAGTTTTTCTCTTTTAATTTGTTCTCCAAATTTGAAAAGGGTTTTCTTCCTGTTAGACTAGAGATGCCCAAAGTTCGCATTTTGGACAAATATAAAATTCTGAAATTGGAGATAAAAAAGATCGTCTGTTTCCGACTTCAGAGTAACTCTCAGAGTCACTTCACTCTCTGTACTCTTCACTTCTTCTAGCGCTACTAACAATCTCCACACTTCTTAGTACGGTTCTCCTGTCACTGGAAACAGTGAATTATTCGTCGTGTTGTTATGTGCAATGGCACCCTTCCAGAAAAAATCGAAGATCAAAAAGAAGACTAAGAAGTTTAAAAAACACAAACAGGTGAGCCTAGTGCCTGTTGAGCCCAGAACCAGTGAGACCGATTGGTGGGACTCTTTCTGGCACAAGAATTCTACGACCCCAGGTATCTTCTCCTTTCTCATTATTTCATTCCCCTTCAAAGTTTCGAACTTCAATGATTTATCGCTGATGTTGTTCAGGAGTGAAACCCTTTCATTCAAGCATGTGTATCTCTACTGTTATCACTTGATCAATTGTCAACAATTTTATTGTTTATGTCTTGTTGTGAAAGAAATAATGGGGTTTCCACGCATGGATTTTCTTCCCACGCCCCATTGTTTTTAGGGTAGTGATATCATTAAAGTTATTTAGCTATTTTGGGTGGTTTTATGGATAAGATTGATTTGATTTGAAAAAAAATGATTTATGTGCGTATGATTGATGCTAACCTGCAGGATACTCTGTACCGGGTGATGAGGCAGATGGGTTTAAGTATTTCTTCAGGGTGTCAAAGACTTCTTTTGAATACATATGTTCCCTTGTGAGGGAGGATCTCATATCAAGGCCTCCATCAGGGCTCATCAACATAGAGGGAAGGCTTCTTAGTGTTGAGAAGCAGGTTGCAATTGCCCTTAGAAGGTTGGCATCTGGTGAGTCTCAAGTCTCAGTCGGAGCTGCCTTTGGGGTTGGGCAGTCAACAGTGTCTCAGGTGACTTGGAGATTCATAGAGGCGCTGGAGGAACGTGCTAAGCATCATCTCAATTGGCCAGATTTTAATAGAATGCAGGAAATCAAGCGTGGATTTGAAGCATCCTATGGGTTGCCTAATTGCTGTGGAGCCATTGATGCAACTCACATCATGATGACCCTTCCGGCTGTCCAAACCTCAGATGATTGGTGTGACCAAGAGAAGAATTACAGCATGTTGTTGCAGGGAATTGTGGATCATGAAATGAGATTTATTGACATTATGACTGGTTTGCCTGGTGGCATGTCATTTGCCAGATTGTTGAAGTGTTCAGCATTTTTCAAGCTATCAGAGAATGGTGAGCGTTTAAACGGAAGCGTGAAAGCTTTAGCTGGAGATGTTATAAGAGAATATGTGGTTGGCGGATGCAGTTATCCTCTTCTCCCATGGCTTATGACTCCTTATGAAACTAATGGGGCTAATGTCATATCAGTTTCACAGTCTACATTCAATCAGAAACATGGAGCTGCAAAGCTACTTGCTGTGAGGGCATTTTCATTGTTAAAGGGAAGTTGGAGAATCCTGAGTAAGGTTATGTGGAGACCTGATAAGAGGAAATTGCCCAGCATTATCTTGACATGTTGTTTGCTCCATAATATAATCATTGACTGTGGAGACTCCTTACAACCAGACGTTGCCTTGTCTGGTCATCATGATTCTGGATATCAAGAACAATGTTGCAAGCAAGTTGATCCTTTGGGGAGGACCATGCGAGATAATTTGGCCAAGCATTTACCACAGGAGTGTACTTAGATGTTCATGATTGTTCTGATGTTACCTTTGTACATCTGATCTAGAATTTGACGTTTGACCGCGACATTCTATCTTTGAAATTAAGAAACTGTGTTTTCTCCCCCCTTTTGGTTGAGAATTGGGATTTTACCCCCGTGGTTTTGGTTAATGTTGTTTATTTATTGAAAGAAAGGTTGCTGAACAGTTAGGTAATTAGCCTTCAGTCTCTTGGAGGATAATTTATCGATGAGCCACTGTATCGCAGTAATGAATCCTATTCTCTTAACAAATGATGCTTAAGATAAACAAAACAATGAAAAAAGGAAGATAATTGCATGGCATCACAATGGTAATCGAAGTAATAGCTAGACAATAATGGTAAGTCTAACCAAGAAGGAAAGAAGACGGGGGCAGTTGTTCAGAAAATGAAATGGCGATTCCGTCCTAGCTTCTTCTGAATGAACATTAGACAACATGTACAGCGGGATCTCTACGCTACAAGAACATTAGATCCTTTCCATTGAAAAACAAGTGCGGTTTTGAACCATCTCTAGATTATAAAAAATTTACAAACAAGAAAGTAAATGTCAAATGTATTTTGAACTATGTTAAAAATCCTGGCGGCTTAATCTCCCTTAGTGGGAGGCTGCATGCATGCACAAAAGGGTGCTTTCTTCTTCGTCTTGTGATAGTTTCTTCTCGTCCCACCACCATAGAGATAATCTCGCAAAAGGACTTTTGAGTTTCGTTCATCCATCATTGTCTTTCCTTTGCCTTCTTTTTCATCATTCAACTTTAGAAGTAAAAGTTGCAGTCTTTGCACCTCCAACTGCAGCCGTCCTATCTTTTCAGACCCTCTCCGAGCCTGTTCTGAAACTCTCCTTCTGCTGACACTTACACTCTCATCTGATTCTGCTGTAGACTTCCCAGCAAAGGATGACGTACTCTCTTCTACATTCTTCTTCAACTTCTTGTTGGCATCAAACAACTTTGTGATGGCTTCCTGAGTAGCTTCAAGCTGCCCTGTCACCGTATTGTACTCAATATCTTTTCCTTTTGTGCTCTCAGTAATTTCTAGCTTGCTCATCAAATCCTGCACGGTAATTTCAAGGTTTGTCAACTTTTGAGCATCAGAATCAAGTCTTTCAAAAATCTTCCTCCTGTTGCCTTCTTCATGTGAATGTGGCAGTGTCAATCTTCTTGGGATCTCTAATTTGTCCACACTCAACTCCTTCTCAATCAAGGACTCTATTGATGGATATTTGTTTCTGAGTTCCTTGGTTGCTCTCTTTTGCTGGTATGTTGTAGGCACAATGGCTGTCTTCTGCGCCTTGCCAACTGTCAGGCCAATAACACCATCCTTATTAGCAGTTTCCCACAATTCAAGCATCTGATCATCAGTCTCAAGAGTTCCTCTCCTACTTATCCCATATGAACATTCAGACGTTTGATCAAGCATGATGTCTTTTGGCAGGACTTCAATTTCTGCTACAGGGACATCTGACACTGATCTTTTTGACTTCAGTTCATCAGAAGGTCGACCTTGATACTGCTCCTTCGCTTCATGCATTTCAGTAACATACTTATTTGCCTGAATATTTCCTTGGCGCCGGCTGAATCCAGATTTTAACACTTGAATCTCTCTCATTTCATCCTTAGTTTTGAAACTTTCATTCATCTGTTTAACAGCCATTACAATTGCATTGACTCTTTTCTGCATATCTTGGAAATCTGGAAGTGCATTAGTTGCCGCAGTATTCTGATCTTCACCTGTTTGTGGACCACCTTCAGAGTATTTGTGATATGCCAAATCCTTAACCTGGAAATAACGATTTAAAAAAACTGCATTGTGTCAATGTAAGCAATGCAATAATAGCTGGTTCCCAGTTGAAGATAAAATGCACATTACCTTTGGTACTTTGTATTCATATGGTTTTGCATGCCCAAGTGTCTGCAGCTCCAAGGATGTGATGCAATCATTCAAAGCACTGGCAGCTGGAACATAAGCAGCCAACTGATCCCGTAGTTTCACATTTTCACCTTCCAACTTGTTAACTCTTTCTTTCAGCACTTCACTTTCCATCCCTGTAAAGTTGCTTTTGCATTCAAGATCTTCACATGCATCAGCTAGCTCCCGGACTTTCTCTTCAAATAATGTCTCATTGACAGCTGACATCTGCAGTCTGGTATAGAGTGTGGCAGCCTGAGTTTCCCATTGTTTAATCTCATTTGTTCCCTTAAGTAGTTCGTGAGTTAGCTTCTCTTCCCTCAGTTTAATTTCTCTAAGTTCTTGGTGCAGATGCCTCATTTCCGCCTCCAACTTCTTATTCACTTCACCAAGGCATCCAAGTTCATCATTTTGCCGATCCTTGTGGGTGGATAATTTTAAAATTTGACTAGCTTGGTCTTCAAGTATCACCCTGGCTTCATCATACTTGCCCTTCAGAACTTCGACCAGTCTTTGCAATTCTGTTTTCTCATCTTGTAAAACACTAAACATCTCTGCTGCTTCCAAAATCTCATTTTCCTTTTGAGACAACAATTCCTTTCCATTCCTGATCTGACAATTTAATTGATCATTAACGGATTGAACTAATTTTAGTTCAATGCTTGACACTGCAAAGGACTCTTTAAGATCGGAGTTTTCCATTTCTATATCTTCTAATTTACCCATCAATACTTTTAGTTTCTCCTCAAGGTCGGTATTTACTGAACAAAGTCTATTGAGATCGTTGCTTAGTTCTTTAAGTGCCAGGAGTTTTTCGAAGACAATGTTCTGGTAGACTAGCGAGAGATTAGATTGTGCTATTGTCTCATGAATCATAATGCAGATTTCATCTTCCAACTTACTTTTCTCTTCACCCAAGTCCAGAAATCTTCTCATCAAGGAATTTTTCTCTTCAAAGGTTTTGTAACTTTCTTCCTTTATGTTTTGGCGATCCTCTTTCAAGTCTAACAGCTGTTTGCATAGATTCTCTATGTGAGTAGCCATTACTTCCATTTTATCTTCTCCTCTGCTTATTGTCAACTTCAATTCCTGATTCTTCTCCAATATCTTTTGTACCTCTGCTTGCAATGCCAAGAACTGCGTAGACTGGGTTCTCAGCTCCTTATCTAGCGAATTTCTTTCTGTCAAAAGATTTTCAGCCTTTAATTTCAACTGGCCAAGGAATGTAACAAGAATTGAGTTCTCAATGGCCACTTGCTGGCTTTCATTGAAAATTGTGACAAAAGAATTCTGTTTCTCCTGAAGCTTCCCATGTATATGGTTCATAAACTCCTGGTCCTTTTCAATCATATTTTCACACAAAGGCTCACTGTTAACATCAAGAGTCTTTAAGACCTGAAGCAGACCAATCCTCAGTATTTTAATTCTCTCAGACAATGAATTAACATCAACTTGCTTCTGAACGTTGTCATCCTCCAATTTAGATATCAATCTATCAGACAGTTTGGAAGCCTCCAAAAGTCTCTGACTGTCAACTAGAAGGGAGAAGTTCTTTTGCTCCAAATCCTGGATACATCTCTGCAAGATGAAAATTTCCATTTGAGCACGTATAGATCTGTCCAGTTCCTCTTCATATTCCTTTTTCTGGTAATCTGCATCTTCCTGAAGAACAAAAATTTGTAATTCCTTCTCAGCCAAGTGACATTCATTCAATTGCACAATTCTGGAATGCTCTTCCCTCTGAGCATATAAGGAAAGAAGTAGCTCTTCCAACTTTTGAAGTGCAGACTCCCTTTCTGCTTTCAGTTCAGAATGCTTCAGTTCCAATTCATTGTGTTGTTTCCCAAGATCTTTCAGAGTTTGATGAGTGATGTTCAATTGTGAAACTAAGGTTTCTTTCTCAGAGGTGAGACTGGACTTCTCATGGTCAAGCAACAGACAAGAGTCTTCTAAAATCTTTGACTTAATCCTTAATCCTTCCAGCTCAGCATTCACATCACATAGTGAACTTTCTAAAAGGTTGTTTTTTTCTGAGAGTTTCTCCAGCTGCTCAGCGGTGGTTTGTAACTGAGAAAACAAGGTGGCTTTCTCAGCAGCAAGAGTGGATTTCTCCCCAAGCAAAGATTCGCAAGTTTCTTCCAATATCTTTACCTTTCCTCGAGCACTCTCAAGCTCAACAGTCAAATCTAAAAGAGACCTCTCCAGAACAGCATTCTTCTCCAAAAGCGTCTCCATGATCTCCACTTTTTCCTTTAGAGCTGCTTTCTCATCTTTGTAGGTTTCACTTCTTTCCTTTAACTTTGAGTTCTCATCTTGCAAGTTCTTCACAGATGAGGCAAAGCACTGTAGTTCTAAGTCAGTTGATCTGACATCCTCCACCATGGATTCATGTATTTTCTTCAAATCATTAAGCTCTTCTTTAAGACAGTAAATTTCTTGCTGGAGAGCATTTCTTTCATCTACTTGTATTCCAACCTCCAGCTCAAGTTTCTTTATTATCTCCCTCAGATTTAATATCTCATCCTGCATTCTTTTTATAGACAAAGATGAAGATAATTTGAGCTCATTGAGAGTTTTGTTCTCCTCTCTGGCCTTGTGTGCTTCATCCTCTAAAGCCTGCTTACGGGATTCCATATTCTCCAGAATTTCAGCCTTACCATGAAGCTCAGTGGCTAGAGATCTTAGCTCTTCCTGAGATTGAGAATGCAAATTCTGAAGAGTTTGGAAAGCAGTTTCAGCCTCGATGAATCTCAGTCTCTCCTCTTGTATGCAAGTCCAGAGTCTACCCAATTCTTTGTGTTTCTCACTAAGTTCTTCATTTTGAGATCCCAACTTCTGTACCAAAGACTGTAATTCAGATTGCAAAGTCTGATTAGATGTTTCCAAGAGCACACACTTCTGTTCAGAACTATTTAACTTTTCAACCCCATCATGTATCTTACACTTTAGCTTATGCACCTCCTCTAGGGCACAAGAGAGTTTATGCTCCAAACTGGAAATTATCTCCATGCATTGTTGATAACGATGAGCTGCATCTTCCTTCTCTTCAGTAAGTTTAGCAATTTCTAATTTCATGCTATCAATTTCAATTTTTGCTGCATTAGCTTGTTCATTAATTCTCTTTTTATTCTCTTCAGCTTGTACTAGTCTCTCCTCTAGTTTTGACAACAACTCTAAGGATTGGTTATATTGAACAAGGGCAACTTCTTTTTGAGCTTCTACTCTAGCAAGGTCTTGCTTTAAGGATTCAGATTCAGTTTCAGCTCTGGTAGCTCGTTCATTAAGTTCTCCTACATCCTTTTGAGCAGATGAAATATTTTTCTCCAGATGATATATTTTCTCCAAGCATTGCTGGTACTCAAGAAGACTAACTTCTCTTTCAGCCTGTAATTCATCAAGGGCTTCCTTCAAGGTTTGAACTTCAGCTTCAGCTTTGTTTGCTCGTTCATTAAGACCTTGAGAATTCTCTCTTGCACGAGACATTTCTGACTCCAGATTAGACAATCTCTCCAAACTCTGCTGATACTGAAGCAAGCCAGCCTCCTTTTCACTTTCTAAGTTAGCCAGGGCTTTCTTTAAGGCCAAAATTTCCGTCTCAGCTTTTGTCATCCGTTCAGACTCGGATAAGATTAAAGTCCTGATATCTTGGCTTCCATTGTCTTGCTCATTAATCTGTTCTGTGTCATGAAAATTGAGCCCCCTTCGAACCCGCCCTTCTGAAGACTTTGCATGACTTACAGGTTCTCCTGACATGAATAGATCATTGAGCTGTTTCAAACCCTTTCTGCTTAAACCACAATCAGTTTCATCAGTATAAGATCCATTTCTTTTGATGGCATGGAAACTAGGTGAAGCATCCTTTTGCAATTCAACTGAGTCAAGAAATGAATGGGAAAAGCTGAGTGCCTCTGGTGTATGTGGCTCAGTCTCCATGTAAGAAACTCCAGGTGAATCATCTGCTGGTGCAGGAGGGACTTGATTAGGAAATGCTTCAGCCATGGTACGATGGGCCTGACGAATCACTCCAGTTGCATGATCATATCTCTCAGCCAATGCCCGGTATGCACGATAAAACTCTTCAACTAATTTCATAAGCTCTGGCCGTTTCTTATAATACATCTCTGCCCTCCTGGCAAAGGAATCTGCATCTTCTTCAATAAGCTTGATCATTTGCTTCACCTTGGAATCCATATCTGTTCATGAGAAGGTTTGGATGAGATAAATTAATGTGTTTCAGGGTATTACAGGAAGCAAACTGCAAAATTTCAGTTTTCAGGTAAGGAAATAAGTGAAAGGAAATGAATTATAGGAATTAGACATGGCTTATTATCATACATAGATACCATACAATTGCCTGTAACATCTAACATTTCCATACAAGACAGAACTGATTATTTTGAGTTCTAGAAAGAAATGTAATTTTAATGAAGATATACACCAAAAAGAAGATTTAGAAAGATATATCAAAATACAATACCGTAGTTTCATTAAATGCTTCCTTGGATTTCACAGTTTCTACGGGAGTGCATCATGACAGTAAGTAAATTTGGAAGTGAAACCGAAAACTGGTTTAAACCATAATAAATCTTTTTTGCCATACATTTCCAAAGGGTGAATATACAGACAATTACAATTGATAAACTAGAACATTTTGTTGCAAGTCCAATAACCTAAAGATGTTATCAGCAATTATTTTAAAAGCCCAAAAGGTCTTACATCAACATCAGTAATTATCCATTATCAAACAAAAAATATAATTAGATTTAAAAAGAAGAAGAAGAAGAAGGAGGAGGAGGAGGATAATGTTCATTTAGATTTTGTTTCAGGTTTTACAGAAGCACTCCTTTCTCCTATACATGAGAAAACGAGAAATATGCGCAATTTAATCTCTAATCATCAAGGTGTCAGGTGATGAAGAGCCACTATGGCAGCATCTAAAACAGCATTGCTTCCAAAACCAGAATTACCTGTCAGATTCTCTTGGAGCCATTTCGAGTTCTTGGGGCTAATGTGACTGTCCCACCACCATGAATACATTCTTCTAGAATCAGCATGGGACAGAGCCGCCATCACTCCAGCCAAGTAAACCAACACCAACACCGTGTCTTCTGATGTTGAAGAAACTTGATCCACAATAGTTTAACTAAGTATAACCAGAACCACGCTAACACTGTTCCAGAACAGATGAATACCGAGTCTCTCTTGCTGCTATCATATAAGTCATTGGAATAAACAAAAAAAAAAAATCAAAGAAATGGTTCAGTTTCATATAAATCATAGACACGCCTTTTCTCTCATCAAAGCAAAAGAAAATGTTCAGAAATAGTACAAAACCAAAATGAAAAAGGAAAAAAAAAAAAAAAAAACATACCAGTTAAGTTAAACTCTCAGGTTCTAAGAGTGAAGAATCAACAAGCATCTGACACACCAGAGCTAGTGCTGATCAAACACAAAATTTTAATTAGAACCACAGGAAAAAAAAAAAAAAAAAGGTAACAGAATTTGGCTAGTAAACAAGAAAATAAATTATGAGCATGTCAAAAATACAAAAAAAATGTTATAATTATTTCTCCATGAAAATCATTCATGAACATGAGATGGCTACACCATACAAGAAGGTTGCACTCATGGCTAAGAGATCAAGGATAAAAAACTTCAACATAAAGCTCATAATTCAGGTAACAAGTTACTCACCAAAAAAAAAAAAAAAAAATCAAACGTAGGACATTCGGTTTCAATTAACAGCAACGGCAATAAACAACTTCAACTGCTTTTCTTCTCTTTCTCTTTTTTATTCATTTTCTGAGTCACCCCATGTTGCTTAGATCTCTCTATTTTGCGAACAATGTTGTTTCTGTTCTGTGCTTCTCTCTCTCTCTCTCTCTCTCTCTCTCTCTCTTTTTCTTTCTCAGCTTTGCTTTTTATGCAGTATAGGTTGGTGGTACTGTCTCCCAGCGACTCAGAACTGCTAAAGTGTAAAAGAAAACAAAATACAATAAAATGTTAGTAAAATCAAATTACATTAATGAGTACTGATTAGAATCTTAACCTCACATTGATCGCATTATTAGTATCTCAATGATAAAGAAATATAGTAATTGTATTTCTTTCCGTTACTAGATAATCATGATTACATAGAGAAAAAGAAAATATGTAATGAGAATGAAATTATTTGTTCTATTAAAACATGAATTAAAGTATCCAAGTACACCTTAAGCACTCTTGGTCAAAATCCTGAAAAAAGTAATATGAAACTTAGTTGCGTGTATTTTACGAGGAAAGGTATAATGTGTTTAGAGTGAATTTATTCTATGCAGTGTAATAATAACATTTTGATGCCGTTGCAGAATGGTGCATCACGGGGTGAACAATAAAAATGTTAAAAAGTAACACTATTACTATCATTAACATTATTATCGTGTGCCAAAAAGTAATGCTTGTACCAAACTAAAGTCATACGCCCCACATTTAAAATCCATCAAAATACGTAATTACTTGTTTTTTTTTTCTGTTTTTATATATCATCAAAATTATTTATTATTTACTTGCCTTGAGCCCTTCACAACTCAAACCGATAAAGCAATTAGATTAATTTAATGGAGCGTAATAAACTTTCTGCCTAATTTCAAATAATCAATCGATTGTAGAAATTGTAAAAGTCTTTTAATTTATAAAAATATGTGAATTTAATTGCTCTTTATATTTTGTGGTAGTCTTTATTATTATAAAATTGGAAGAGTGATTAAACATATTATTTTTTAAAATTGAAGTACTGCATTCATCATTTCAAAAATATAAAAATTAAATTAAGTTTGGAAAATAAAAATCGTGAGACATTTTTCTCTTAAAATAATATACATAGAGTTAATGTAGTTTTTGTAAATAATAAATTATTAAAATTACATCAACCATGATTTTTAATTGATCTAGAATCTAAGTTTTTTATATCAATGCTTAAAAATTAAAAATATTTAATATTCCCTTTCATTTCTTTTAAAAAGCTGTGGTATATTTCCCTCCTCCAACTTCTTAATACTTTTTATAAATAAATGAATTTATTTTTGATAAAATTAATAGATTTAGTATTTTATTTTAGAAAAATAAATATTAACAGTACATTCTTTAACAAATATTTTTCATATAATTTTTCTTAATTGTATTCTTAATCTTTCTTATTTGTATCAACTAATGTAAATTATTAATATTAAATGTTATAAGTTTAATGAAGACCTTTAAATCATGATATTTTAAATAAACGAATAAATATATAATTTTTACCAAAGGGGGATATTTATTTTAAAAACCAAAAGAATCTTCTACTCAAATAATTAATAAGTATTCGTCATAATAGTTTTAACAATGTAAATTAAAAGAAAAAAAGTTGTAAGCTGCGTTCACAAAATTTTCAGAAATTATTCTGATTTGATTATTAAAAATAAAATAAAAAATATTGAATAAAAATTGGAATACTAATACTAATAATAATAATAATAATAATAATAATAATAATAATAATAATAATAATAATAATAATAATAATAATAATAATAATAATAATAATAAAAGAAGGTGTAAATGAAGAAAGTGACAATTGGTGGACATTTTGCAACATCACTCCTGTCATCACGCCGCCCCAGCAAATTCCTTTGTCCCATTTTGAAACTCACACGAGTTTGTCGTGCCACGAAATAATATAACTATTAACATCATCAACAATATAACTCAATTATTATATACTTAAAAATATTTTTAACTCAATAATAACTAATATACTTATATCTCATTTGAATAAAAGAGATATTAATTTTTTTATGATATTAATATCTGTCATAAGATAATTTTTTAAATATGACAAGAATCGAACATATCATATATGGATCATTCTTGTGAATTAAATTCTTTTATATAACCTATAGACGTGTTAGTTAGAGAACTAAATAATTTTTGAATAATTTTTTGAATTCCATTTTAAGAAGTCATTTTAAATAATTGATTATGGTGTAAAAAAACAACTTTAACAGGAAAAAAATTGTGCAAGTTGAAAAATAAAAGTGTTGTCAACAAATAATGATGAATTACAAATTTTCATGTTGAAAATATTCCGAATTTTCTACATAAATTTTAGTTATTATTCATACGTTTTTTTTTTCACAAACTTTCAAATACAATGTAATAAGATGTGAATTAAATGTTACATTACAACTAATACTAGACATATGAAAAAACAAAAGTTATCCGGAGAGTCATTCCATCTTAACCTTTATTTTTTAGAGATTGGATGAGTTGGTAGGTTGAGGTGTTATTTATGGTGAATTAATCCACTAGTTTAAGATGTTTCAATTTTATGTGATAAGTTTTAATATTTATTTTAAAATGTATTTATTACAAGAAATTTTAATATTACTGACGGTCAAAATCCTTCAGTAATAACAAAAATTCGTCGATAGTTTCGTATAACATTTAGCGTTGGGAATCCGTCGGTAATATTTTTATTATTTATTAAATATTTTACTTATATAAGAGAATTGTCATTGGCAGAATTCAAACTCGATATCTTAGAGTTAGAGACTCGATACTCCAACCACTAAGCTACTAGGAATTTTTTGATAATAATTTACAAATAAATTATATTTATATATTTATATATTTATATATTTATATGTTTATATATTTATATGTTTATATATTTATATGTTTATATATTTATATGTTTATATATTTATATGTTTATATATTTATATGTTTATATATTTATATGTTTATATATTTATATGTTTATATATTTATATATTTATATTTTATATATTTTTATATTTTTATATATATTTATATATATATATATTTATATATAATTAAATATTTTTATATATTTATATATAATTAAATATTTATTTTTTAAAATTATTTAATTTAAGAAATTATTATAAATTAATCTAATTATGATTAAATTAAATTATTAAATAAAAAATATTTAATTTTTTAATTAGTTGAATATTTACTGATTGTTAATTTATAAACGGATATATCCATCGGTAATTTACGAGATAGATTTACCGACGAATATATCCATCGGTAATTTACAGATGAATTTATCGACGGATATATCCGTCGGTGATTAATTATTAATTTATCGACGGATATATCCGTCGGTGATTAATTATTAATTTATCGACGAATTTATTGACGGATAT